TTCATCCATGGCCCAAACATTCATCAACATTCATCCAATCACAAATATACATACATCATGATCATATAAAAAATATATACATATGCATATAAAAATTTGGATCCATGAATGATGATTTTCATAAAATCATGATCTCTAGTAATGAATCAAACCATATTCTGATACCACTGTTTGGAAACGTGCTAGTTTTAAAAACTTTTCGAGGGATTTTAATTCATAGATATTGATTCATCACATAGAGACAAGTTTTATGCAAAAATAAAACATGATGTATCATTTAATTAAAAGATTGAATACTTACATCAAGGTTTGAGTAAACCTTAGATCTCTCCTCTAAAGTGAATGTTCTCACTTATTGTAGATCCCTTTTGCTAGACACCTTTTCCATGGATCTCCATCTTCTTGGTAATAGTCTTGCCTTTAGGAATCACTCATAAGCCTCTATGAATGACCTTGGAAAACTAGGCTTGTGGGAGCCTCCATTAGATGAGAACACTAACCCTAATTTTCTAGAGAGAGAAAATTTATTCCTTTTTCCTTCTTTCCAAAAATCACACCCAAAATATACATAGACCATGTATATTTATAGGCAACATAAAAATAAAAAAAAGGAAACAATAAATCCTTCTCAATCTCTAATTCATATGTCTCAAATCTAATATGATTCCAATATCAAGTTGGGCTATGAGTGAGAATCCATTGGGCCTATTATTTTATTGGCTACAGTGAATTAATAATTGGCCCGGTCCATGGACCCAATTCAATTAATTCATAAATTAATATCTACTCCACTAAAAGAAATTAATTGAACTCCAATTAAATAATAAATAACCTCTAAGTCAATATTGCACCTTGACCCCTCTATTCTTAATTAGTTATCGGATAAATAAAGCCATCAATCCGACTACTTAATTAATATATTTATTTTGGTACCATTGATTATTTCTGGCTCGATCACAATAAAACATTTGTTTGACAAAAATAATAATTTAAATAAATAAATATATAATAAATCATTTTGTCTAAAAACACACGAAGGCCTTCGAATTTACTTTGTGATCAATCATAATCAATACAAAATAAATACAAGTAGCAATGATGCAAATATTGAAAATATAACCCTCTAACTATTAATTACATAACTACCCAAAGTGTCGGTCTAAGGATCCCGAAGAATCCGCTGAACAAATCAAAGTAATTATTAATTAATAAAAGAGTTTATACTTTTCTCATGCTTAAGAGTCAAATGCTATGACGGTGATAGGGAGCAATTGCATACGACGGCTCTCGCAATATATCTCAACCTAACGCGGATCCAGTTCAAGTCTTAATTAATTATGAGTCCATCCATAATTACTGACTATGAACAATTTATGATTACTATTTATATATCATGCATTGATTGCCATCACATACATATATATAAATATCTCTTGTACTCAAATGGACACTATCAATTCTATAATGAATCGAAATATAATACATTGAATTCACCAATTGTATAAAACATAAATATTTCAGAAACGTCAGAAACATATGTCACTTTAATCCAAACAGGAATTTGCTATACCAGGGCATATAAATCCCAACAAACAGAACAAAAAATATAAGGGAAACCCAGAAACAGAACAAGGCATTTGAATCCATTTTCAGTTAAGATAACAACAATGATCTCCATAATCAATGATTCATGACTACAGAACCTTGCAGATTGATTTACATTATATGATTCGCAGTTTTGCCATAGATGGGCAATGCAAATAAAAGACTATATATAGAATTTGATACGTAAATAAATCTTGCTTGCCGTTGAAACATAGAAAAAGTTGGTTTAGTTTACAATGAGACACGACTATTAAAGTATAGAGCTAGAAGAATCTTTGCATAATAAAGCTTTGGTTTCCATGCTATTAATTGTAACTTCTTCTCAGAGCGATAGACTCTCTTTCAATCTCTTCCCACCAGAAAAAAAATAATAATAATAATAATAATCAGTGATAGGTGTTTGATTTTTCTTATGTACTTTGAATTACAAGACTTTTTTTTTTTTTTTTAATTAATGGTTGTTGAAGGTTCAAAGTGGTTGTTGAGGGTTCAAAGCTAATACAAATTTATGTTTTTTCAGTTACAAGGTTAGTTTTTCAAATTGTAACTTCTTTATGTGAAGTGTGAGATACACTTTTCTTTTTTTTCCTATGAAAACTTTGAATTTGAAGCATTTTTACCAAACAAAATCAATGAGAGGTATTTGATTTTTCTTCTATTGAATTAGAAGGCTCTTGTTTTTAATGAGTGTTGGAGTTTTTAAAGCTGATGTAAATTCTGTCAGCTATAGAAACCCTCTCTATATGAAAGCTCTCTCATTAATGGGCATTGATATGTATATATGTGTGTGTGTGTGTGTGTATGTGAGATACACAAGCTATATCTGTCTTTGCATGATGTGATGAACTTTAATTTGCAGTCTCATTTGTGAGATTTTTTGTGTGTGTTTTTGTCAGGACAATTAGCTTTGATCAGCCAAGCTGCCTAAGACATAATTACTCAGTTGTTTTTTTTTTTTTTTTTGAAAATTCAATTGCTCAGCTATTGTTTATGTGATTGTTACATATATTAAAGAACACTTCGGTATTCCCAATTATGATAATTATCAATGTGATTGTTATATATATTATAGTAGGTTCATAGAGAAAGAAGCCAAGGAAAAAGAGAGATGATAAGATTATGATGGACCTTTTTAACATGGACCCTCAAGCGAAAGTTTATTACTAGCTGCGCAAGGATGAGATTCTTGCCAAACTACAATTACACTCAACAAACTTTGATTATTGTGCTCCTCTTCCCCCATCTCCACCATGAAGGACACGTGAAGTTGGGACTTTTGCAGCTAGTTGCTGATCTTTTGTGTAAATGGGCTATCAAAAACAAATCTTTGGTGTAAATGGGTTCAATGTTTGAAGGCAGCTCAATTTTTGTGTAAAGGACAATATTTTAAACAGCTAGCTTTGAATGTTGTAATGTCATTGTACATATTGCTTGTTATTTTTGACTCTTAAAAGGGTAATGAGATTTCAATCCATTGTATTTACTTGATTTCTCAAATAAATGGAAACACCAATCATAGCAAAAGAGATCTGAATTATAAGCAAACAAAACAAAATAATTGTGAATTGAATTATCGCAATTGTACAAATGAAAACATCACACACATCTAGGACTGAGACACAACTCAGACTCCTATGGAAAGCAGTAGTAAGGAATTTTCAGTAATGGATGAAACCACAATGAAGCAAAACAAGGGTCTGACATGCAAATTCATTTTACTGCAATTACAGAGTAAAGACTCACATGACTGCAATGACAAGTTTTTTGATAGAGTTTGCTTGTTATGTAAATGACAAGTTTACCCATTTATTTTTATATAATTTACATTTTATCTTTTACATTGAATTTGATAATTAATTATTATTATTATTATTATTTTTAATAAGGCAAATAAGCTAAATAAAATACAAACACTCACAAAAAAATAAAAAAAATGGTTATTGAAAATTGGTAGTTGAAAATGGTAGTTGATAATGGTAGTTGGAAAAAAATGGTTATTGTGCTAAAAAATAGCATTTTGGATGAAATACAGCATTGGAGCAGAGTTGTTAAATTATAACATTTTGACACTGTAGCTATAGTCAAATTACAAATTTGGCATGCAAAATTGACTATTTGCATTAAAGATGCTCTTACCAAATGTTGTGTGCGCGCGCGCGCTCTCTGAGTGTGAACCTTTTCTGCTTCAATTCATGAAGTAATGTTACTTGTGGTGATCATAGTACTAGTGAGCTACTTTTACTTTTTTATTTTTATCATAATTGTACCTCCCTTTTCTAGCAATAAATCAATTGCACTGTTAAAATAGGTCCAAATAAAACTTTATTAAGAGAACTTTACCAAGATAATATAGATAGTTTGTCATCCCTAATTAATTAATACAAGGCTACTTTCATTATTAAATAAAATTTTAAATTTGGAAACTAAGTTTGAAAGAGAAACAGCGTGTGACATTAGAAACTATATATTATGGACGTGAAGAAATTCAATTGCTTAAAAGACAAAAAAAGGTACCGTTACACAAGACATGGTAATATGATCTTGTCCAACGGCTAGTTATATGTTTCCTATTTTCTAACAGCTTTTAAAATTCTTTATGGGTTGTGGGCCTTTGGTGTTTTGGGCTCTTGTTTTTTGTTGTGTAATTTTTATGGGCTTTTAAGGCTTTGTCCTTATTTGATTTCCTTGGCCTTTCTTTCTGCCCTGACCTCTTTGATAGTTTACTTCTACCTCTTAGAGTTTGTCTTTTCTACAATAAATTTTTATTTACCTGGGGGGATTTTTTTTTTTTTAATTAATTAATTCTACCTATATTTATTCTCTTTCATACAAAAATAATTATACATCGTGGCAGCATCAAATAGGTCTCATATATTAATTCTCTTTCTCAAAAAATAGAGAAGAAAAGGGGTCTGTCTGCGCACTAATATCAGCCATAAAGTGGCCTTTCATTTAACATCATTTTTTTGGTTCATTTAGTTGCACAAAGTATCATTTTTTGACCCAAAAATGGTTGAAATATCTCTTCCTAATTGTTTCGGAAACATTTGGATTAGTCAAGTACCTTGTTGGAAGTTAAAGCTCCTGTCATATTGCAAAAAGTTTTAGATTTGCCTTAAATATATATGAATTATAATTAAATATTAAATGTTTTGCATTTATTTTTTTTTAACAAGAAATTCGCACAATCACTTTGTCATTAGGGGTACTCAAACTTGAAATTATCACTAGAAGTGTTTTACTTTCTTATCTGTAATTACCCATTCATCTTTCAAGATGGTTTACATTTTTTTTTTTCTCGTTAAAGCACTTAGGTTTTGCATTGCCATTGGAAGATGATGTCTGTAGATATATTTTATATATTATTATATAATAGAGATAGAGGGGTCCATATATACACAACCACACAATCCATTTACTAGTTAGATAAAGAAAAGTACAATCATTATATACAAATTTCATGAAGGAAAAAGACGACTCCTCTTAAGCATAGAGCCCAGCCATACATTTTGGAGGCACGGTAACGGATTAAAGTAGAGAACTTTCAACAACAAACACAAAATATATTTAATTTACGGAGTTATCGCATCATCGGAAGACTCATTTTACTCTCCAGGTACAAAGGTACTCCAACTGAATCTATCGATTCTGTCCCATGACGAGCTATCTCTGTCGGCAAACAGCCCCTTAATTCCGTCACCACAAAATTCATGTTTGGTCTTTGGGTGGAGTTACCAGATACGCAAGTCATTGCTAATTCTACTGCTTTCCAAACACAATTGATATCGAAATCTCCCTGCAATCTGGGATCAACAACACTTTTAATATCACCATTTGCAAGATTAGAACTAACCCAATCAATTATGTGAATATTCTCATCGTCTCTTAATATTGGTGGTCGACTTGTAATAATCTCCATGAGAACAATCCCAAAGCTATATACATCACTTTTTTCATTTAATCTATTTGATGCGCAATACCTGCAAGCCAACACATGCAAAACATTTATATATATATATATATATATATATATCACCATACACTAACAAAATAGTGTTTTCTAATTCAAAGCCATTGATTAATTTTTCTAACGATGTGATAGACTTATTGAAGAAAATGTTTCCAAAACGACTATTGATTGGTATACTGTTGGAAAATAATCTCGTTGTGGATGAATTATTGAAACTTAAAGTTCATTGTTAGATTATATATAGTTGATTGCCATGACAATTGTTGTGCCTAGCTAAATATATATAGATATATATATATCTAATAATCTATAAAAGTTCATGCATTTTAGTATAATCAAGAAATTAGTACTAAAGTGACAGAAGTAGTTAGGACTTGGGAGTTGCCATGGTATAAAAAAATTGGTGATATCAAGTCATCTTTCGAAGTTGAAGGTGGAGGGAGGGTTCAAGTTCCCAATCAATAACAAAGTAGGTGTATAAGTGTGTTTTTGCAAATTAAAAAATATATATATACATACATATATATATATACTTACTCGGGGTCAAGGTACCCAGGAGTGCCAGCAACAATTGTTGATACATGACTACCACCTTCAGTTGGAAAAGCTTTGGATAATCCAAAATCAGATAGCTTGGCTTGGAAATTTTCATTCAATAAGATATTGGTAGACTTTACGTCTCTGTGGATTATTGGTGGCTTACAACCATGATGCAAATACTCTAGACCTTCATCAATTGAATTCCACATAAGTACTAGTTGCAATTACAACTAAAACAAAATAATATTTGAAATATTAAGGGAAAGGTCATTTTGCGCGCTAACCTTGTGCTGCATCCATTGCTATTCGGATCCTCTCTTCCCAACTCAAAACAATTGAGTTTCTATCTGCATCGAAAAAAAAAAAAAAAAAAACAAGGAAGTTCAAGACAAGAAAATTGTCCAATGTCGTCTTTTTGAAGAAGAAAAATTTATGCTTCTTGTAAGAAGAGACTATTAGGTATCAAAAGGGTGCATAGTTCTATAGTACGTGGAAACATTTAGGTAACATGTATACCAGCTTGGAGATGCCTTCTTAAGTTTCCATTAACCATGTACTCATAGATGATTCCGATGTTGGTGCCTTCTTTGCAGTAGCCAACAAGTGAAGTTAAGTTCTTATGACGAACACAACTAAGAAGGTCCGCCTGCAATAGAAATCCACATTTAGTTCAACATAAACACATACTGATGAGCTCAAAATTTTATTTGACATTTTTGCTACAAGTATATTTTACAAGGTACTTTATTGGATATCATCCTCCAAGGGTGATGGTTTAGAAAGCTATGCAGGTTACCTCGGCTTGGAATTCCTTGTACCCTTGAACTGAGGACAGAGAGAGCATCTTTACAGCAACCTGAGAGTTACCTAAGTAGCCATGGTAAACTGTTCCAAATCCTCCTTTACCAATAACCCTCTGGAAGTTATTAGTAATACTCAATACCTCCGAGTATGTTAACTGTCGATTCTTCATCTCAAAGGACCTATCTTTTTGGTTTGTTTCTGCATCCTCCTCCTTCCTGACCACTGAGATCAAATCAAATTCATAAGGATAATTCAATTGAGAAGATTTTTATTATTTAAATTTGGATATTATTATTTATGTTGTAGGGGACAGGAATTTTTTGTAACTATAAAGATAATGGTTCTTATACCTCGTTTTCTCCTTTTAATGAACCACAAAGTAGCCATTGTTGCAGTTGTTAGTAGCAAACACAGTGCTGCAGCAGATGCGACTACTGGAACAACAATGCTCTTTTTTTTCTTTTCACATGGAATAGACTGACAAGGATTTGTGTTTTCACCTTCAATTTCATCAATACTGTTATGATGACAAATGTTAGACAAGGAGTCCACAAATACTAATAATTTCTTAATCTATTTTAGCTGTTAAAAAAACAGCAGCAGAGATGTAGCCCACTTGTTTTCAATTTTTGCAGAATATTTTTATTATTATTATTTTTTTTCAGGGCTTTTAAAGCTTCAAGAATTCGTTTAGTTAACAGTTTACAAAATAATTGTTTTATGAAAAATAACTTCTTTTATTAAAAAAAAAATCTATGATAATAATTTTGAATTTTTTATTAATGTTTTTGGAAACTATTTTCAGATCGAGAACTAAACGAAACAAACTCTTAATTATCAAGTTTGTCAAAGAAAATAAACGACAATTAATTTGACCTCATCTTCGATCTAAGAAATTAACCTATGGCATAGGGGTAAAATGAAATATGAAATTGTGTCTCATCATGGGAGATCTTGGTAATTTAGGTTTATGGTTTTTGAGAGAAGGAGAAAACCTCAATGACAGTGATCCATCCTTTGACTTTGCAAGCAGTTCTGCTGGAATTGAACCTGTGAAGTTGTTTCCCTTCAAATTTCTGCAGTAGAAGGAAGAGTGATTAATTAACATGCATGCAAAATACCTCATTTTCTTTATTTATTATTTTCTCATGCCATGAACTTGCAATTACTTACAAGAGTTTCAAGAAAGTCAGTCGGGAGAGAAAACCAGGCACCTGCCCTGTTAAGCTATTATTTGACAGATCCCTGAATTAAGCACAACTTATTTTGCATCATGAACAAGTTGACATGCATGTCAATAATTTATATATATGTATATTTATATTCCCTGTGAGGCTATATATATATATATATATAGCTTACTTACAAGGATTGTATCATTGTGAGACTTGATATGTAGGGAGCTATCTCCCCGTTCAATCCACTTGAGGACAAGTCCCTGAATTCCAAGTTGAAGAACTTTGTTAATTAGGACATAAAGTTGTGATGAAAATTTATATTAATTAATTATTTGATCTCAGGGAATGATAATTATGCATACAAGGATATTATCCTAGCGGGTCTGGCACCATTGTCACTGCAGTTGAGACCCTTCCACACATAACTTTGAGGGACACATGGATCTCCTTGCCAGTTTCTGGTCAATCCATACACCGACTTGATGCTCATCATAGCTTGAACTAATTAACATTCAAAAGTTATATGAGAGAGAGGAGTTAAATTAAATTAACATGAAAAGAATGAGCTAGGACACACACACACACATATAATTAAGTTACTTTGTGAGTATCTACATACATACCATCTATGTCATCAGTTTGTGAGTGTAATTGTATTGCAGTGTAAAGCTCAATGGCATTGAGGATGGGTGGATGGGTTGATGTACTGGTCTTCCTGAGCGAAAGCTCAAAGTTTCCATCAGAACTCTCATGAGGAAAATCTCTGTATACTGGAAAAGTGGATAAATATTGAGGAACAACAGGATCATCATAAAATAGTTGATCATTCAAATAAATGTAGAACTCTCTGGTTTCATTTGCCTTCAACACTTCAACTTCAGCGAAGTATAAGTAGATATAAAATTGGTCGTCAGAGGGACTGTCAGGCTCCCATGAGAACAACAATGAATCATAGCTGATGTTGGGGAAGGCGGCCGTGCTCATGACCTTTGATGGTGGTTGCAATAGTCCATGGCCATCGCCATTGGAGTCAATTGTTTTTGTGGTATTTAACTTCCACAGGTAGTCCAAGTTTTTGGACTTCCACATGCGATCGTAAACATCATCCTTGTATCTAAGTGACATATAAGTAGCATGGTAAGAATTTGAAAACAATGTTGGTTTGTGTGCGTATATATGTACGGCCTAAATTAACTTAATGACGCACCTAACAACTTGATATTTATCGGCTGTTGAACCCAAATCGTACCGTCTAAAGTAACTTAATGATGATCCATTTGTAGTTGGATACATGAGAATATTTAAAGGCCTCAACTCCAATGTTGAAATGAAGGGTGTTCCAGTGTCTATGTTTACAAGACAAACATATATATAATCTGTGGAGGGCACATGTATGATCTCGTTCGTCCATATAGAGAAGGAATTTTCTAGCAACACCGTATCCCAATAATCAACTCCAATGTGTAGATCGAATTGTGGTGGTTGATTTTTACCATCATAGTTTCCGTACAAGAATGACGCCCTTATCAAATATTTATTGCCTCTCCCTCCTTCAGGTCTCAGACCGTAACAATTTCTGGCACCTTTAGGAAAGCTTCTAACGTTAAACAATTGTTGTTCCAGTATGTAGTTATTCCTAACAGCAGAGGATATAGCCTTGCTTTCACCTGTGTCTACAAAACCTGCATCTGAAGTGTAACGTATTCCTGTTGTCTTGTCTGTGTAGTTGGAACCTTGAGGAGGAATTCCACAATCTATACTAATGAAGCCTGAGAGGACAGAAACATTAGCCATATGACTAAAATGCTAAATAAACTCAGCACTTCAATCAAGTGCATGTTGAGCGGAAATCAGCCCTAGCATAGCATCACACAAGCCACATGCACGGGCAATGAACAATTTTAGGACTCAATCTGACTGCAACTTAATTCTTGTGTTACTCTCATAAAAAGTATATTTTTTCAGAAATTCCAACCTGAAATCTAATACATCCACAAGATTAATAATATGTTCTATCTGACTCAAAACATTTTCTTTTCACAAGAAGAAAAGCCAAAAAAAATCTATTAAGCAATTAAATAAAGATTGTCCCACATAATTAATGTAATCAACTAATTGGGTGTATTCAGCCATAAACCTGTGATCACCGCATCATATAATATGTATAATATATATATATATATATATATATATATAAAGATTATATATCAATTCTTGCTTGAATAAAATTATAATCACAAAAATTTAGGGTATAAATAAAAGATTTAGAAATTTAGAATTTAATCTCAAAGTAGGACTTATTGGTCCTAAAAGAAACTTTTTAGGACTTATTTATTTAGTGAGAAAAGTATGATGTTGTTTGATAAAATTGAAAATGAAGTACTCAATGTTTTAAAAGTTGATTTTTATGTGTTGAAGATTTGAAGTGGTAATTAAAAGGAGAAATAATAGGTCTTCCGATTATAATTGACGACTCATCCTCCGAATATAATGTAATTGGATGATATTGGAACTCTTAAAACAAAATTCCGTAAACATCTCTTTCTTTTCGACTCATTCCTAACCACGTTGTATTCGGAGAATGAATCGGCAATTGAGGTCGGAAGATGTATCATTTCTCAATTAAAAAATAAAATTTTTTTTGATACCTTTTTGAATTTTCAAATGGCGCTTACGGTTTTGTCAATTATAAAAAAATGGGCAAAGTACATAAAAACTCCCTTGACTTGTAACCTTTTCCAATAAACCCTCGTCTAATTTTTTTACCAAAGAACCCCCTCGACTTGTAACTTTTTTTCAATAAATCCCCCTTGTATAATTTTTTACCAAAGAATCTCCTCGACTTGTAACATTTTTCTGAAGTTAATTAAGGTTAGACTTGGATTGAGATGCTAGCAACCCGAACAAACCCGAACTCAAATTCTAATATTATTTTCATATATATTTTGAATTTTAAATACATTATATATAATATTTAAATTATGATTCCCTTTCTTTTTTTTTTTTTATTTTTTTTTTTTAACTTCATTTGTTAAAATTTAACTTATTGTATATTAACATTTTGGAGAATTTATTTTCTAAGAATTTGTTTGTAATTTATTAAAAATTTATAAAATGTCTTTAAACCTTTTTTTTTAAGAGTAATTTAATCTAAAACTAATTCAAGATTGTATTAAATTTTAAGTGTGAAAATTAATTATATGAATAACTCGAATTTTTAACCCGGAATCTAAGTCCGAGTTGTAAGCCCGAATTTAAAAGTAGAAGGATGGGTTGGGTTTAGGTTGAAGATAGTGATAGGATTGGGCTTTGGTTTAGTATTTCATATGACGGGTTGGGCTCAAGTTATACCTTAAACCCACCTAAGTTGCAGCCCTAGAACTTTTTTGTATGGAAATTAAATAAACCTTCTACTAGCATAGGGATAAAACGGATAAGTGGATACATCAAATTCAAAAAAAGTAGAACATGGATACGACGTGGACATAATTATATTTAAATATGAATTTATATATATATTTACTAAGTAATAGTATTATACGACTTTAATTCATTTCTAATTTCAATACTAAGGTTATTCTGAAATGATTTAAAAAATAAAATTATATTATTATTGTAATGATTATATATATATATATATATATATATATATATATATATATATATATATTCTACACTCATAATGTTATTTTTGGTTTAAATGAACATGAATCTTTTTATGCTTCACAAGCATATGATCATAGTATATAATACTAGTAACAATTTATCTTACAAAGAAAAAATTGAATGCTCTGAAATGTTTTTATATTATTTTTAAAATTATTGGGTATACATATGTTTTAAAAAGTTAGAAAGTGCTGATTTAAGTGTCTGAGAAGTATAATTATAAAGTGTGACACGACATTGTTATATTATTTTTAAATTTTTTTTTTTTTTTTTGGGGTAAATATATTTTTTTAAAATCATTGGGTATACATTTGTTTTAAAAAGTTGGAAAGTGCTGATTTAAGTGTAAGGAAAGTATAATTATAAAGTATTGGTGTCTAATAGGACACGACATAAATTTGACTACTTAGTAGAAGTGTCGGTAATATCTAACACTTGACACAATCAAAGGGGTTGGAGGTGCCGGGCTATCCTCTTCCACTAGCCCCCCTCAGCTCCAAAAGCACTACTGTTTATATAGAGAGAGAGAAAAAAAACCTGATTGATCTTGTCCATGAACCGGCAGGGTAAGAGCTAAACAACAACAAAAAAGTATGAATGACACCCCCATTGCTTTTCCTAGCTAGATTCTGTGCTCCCCAGAGAAAGGAGATTCAATGCAATTTAAGCATTCTGAAGAAACCAACTATATATGTGTGTGATGCGCGATGTCCAGTGGACCAATTCCAAGTCTCGCATGTATCAACATCATCTTCACTTCTCCAACTTGCTTGGTAGTTGATACTATAAGAGGTACGTACGTAGACACGTGTGCTGCTTATTAATGTTGCATTTATTAAGTTGTACTTGTACGTATTCCACAGACTTTTGACTTAGCATATGAAGAAGACTTGGACACCAAGAAAATCTAACGCATGATCCAATTACTACTTGTCAGTGAGGTAGATCTAATTACTTGTAATTTTGTAAAAGAAAAAGCCCATCACATTTTCAGTACAATGTTTCTATGTTTTGCTAGGACAGTGTTTGTTTAGTTTAATTATTTTTCTCCACGTATCTGATGAATGCATGTATCTTTTCATATTATGTTACTGAAGAACTCTATTATTAGTTTATTAATTTAACTTTTTCCACACGACTACATTCTTTTATGTGTCAGTTTTTTAATTTTCTTAGCATATCTCTTACACTGATCTTTTCCATGCTAGATTAAGGAAAAATTACCAAATTTATGCCATTATTAATTAATTAATTACTATGTGTTTTATGATTCATTTTCTGGTGCTATGTAAGTGTGAACTTTTGAATTTATTTGGATGTGTTTTATTTTATGTGTATCATGTCACCTTTTCTAAAGTGCCAATGTTGATACTAGATATTTGATATTTTCATTTTTTTTATAAGAATTTATGTCATAATTAACAAATTATTGATATATATATATTTTTTTATCCAACTTTGTAAGTAGCAATTCCAAAGTTAACTGGACATCTTTCTGTAAATACTTAATGGATTACAAAATCCATTTAATTGACAAATGATATTTATTGTAGATCATCCTTTATATTAAGAGCCCCCAAATTGAAAGTTACTAGCCTCCCGCCCATGAAAGTTCCCTTTTTTAACTAATATACATGGACTTTGGCAGGATGTCTTTCCTCAAGCAAAGGACGGGCAGTAAATAGAATGAAGTAAGGAGAAATATTTTACTTTTCATGATATTACCAATTAATTAAATAGTGGTACATAATAATATGATTTACTAAATAACTATCCATATCGAAAACGTGATATCACCATCTAAAAAAAAACCTTTTTACAAATGAAGAGTTTAAAATGCTGGAGTGTCCAAGGCGATATTATATATATAGACACACACACACCATATAACTTGAGCTACATTTAAAAAAAAATAAAAAAAAAACTACGAAATATAACTTATTGTTGGCCTTTGAATTATTGGGTAACACACGACAGGAATTTCTATTTTCCAGCTAGTTAACGTGATCAAGCAGCTTTATAAATTAAGGAATTTCTAATTTTCATTGCTCTCCTTTGATTCTTTGCTCTTCTGAAATAGGAGGCTCAGTACAAAATAAAGGTGATAAGGTGGCGGCTTTATATAAACGTTCTCCAAAATATGTCAATAAAATAAGAGATTTATATGGGTAAACACATCATTTCATGCATTTATTTACTTGTACCTTGCAAAGACTCTGTCCAGCTCCACCCTTAAATCTCTTTTGTTGGCATTCTTGACCACCACACAGGGTGTCTTGATGGGCCGGAGAAATTAGCTAGAAATTTAGTACAGTTGATAGTTTGTTTCCACTGTATCGGAGGCCAGGTGTTTTTACTCTTTGAGTGAGACAACTCCTATTACGCACCAATTTTTACTCCTTAACAAACCTTTTGGTTAACCGATCAAATCAGTCTTATTTATATACGTGGCTATTTTTTTTGGAAATATGCAATAAAAGTTCAACATGAATGGTCCCATAAGACTGGCATCGTCTATTTGTTGAGGTGCTGTAACTCATCAGTTATATTAGAGTCTTGGTTATTTATGAGGTCGCCTAAAGTCCTACCCAGTGGAATGCTCATAGTTATAAGTTTTATTTTCTTATATTGTTACAAATTTTATTTCCTTATATATTAAACCCCAAGCTATAGTCAGATTTGCGCGTTGACAAAGATTATGAAGGTAAGTCCTTGAGGTATCACTTTCGAATTGCACTCTGATTTGAATGATCGTGCTGTGGGGCTGAGGCCGATAAACGTGCTCTAATAAATAAATAAATAAAATTCAATAGTAAGATTTAATAGTGAACCGAGATAAAGAATTAATTTATTCTAAAAGCAATTTGTTGATAAAATGGTTGATTAAAAGCTAAATATTTTTAGAAACTGCATCTTTTTTGGCTAAGATCTAAATATTGTAATTTTTATATAAGATCATATGGTGGTGTTTGATGTGTTGGAGGATGACCTCAAGTTCACATAGAATTGTTGGGATTTATATGCCCTGGCATAGCAAATTCCTATCTGGATTGTAGTGACATATGTTCCTGACATATCTGAAATATTTATGATTTATATAATTGGTGAATTCAATGTATTATGTTTCGATTCACTATGAAATTGATAGTGTCCATGTAATTACAAGAAATATTTATATATATGTATGTGATGACAATCAATGCATGATATATAAATAGTAATTATAAATTGTTCATAGTCGGTAATTATGGATGGACTCATAATTAATTAAGACTTGAACTGGATCCGCGTTAGGTTGAGATATATTGCGAAAGCCGTCGTATGCAATTACTCCCTATCACCGTCATGGCATTTGACTCTTAAGCATGAGAAAAGTATAGACTCTTTTATTAATTAATAATTACTTTGATTTGTTCGGCGGATTCTTCAGGATCCTTAGACCGACACTTTGGGTAGTTATGTAATTAATAGTTAGAGGGTTATATTTTCAATATTTGCATCATTGCTACTTGTATTTATTTTGTATTGATTATGGTTGATCACAAAGTAAATTCGAAGGCCTTCGTGTGTTTTTAGACAAAATGATTTATTATATATTTATTTATTTAAATTATTATTTTTGTCAAACAAATGTTTTATTGTGATCGAGCCAGAAATAATCAAAGGTACCAAAATAAATATATTAATTAAGTAGTCAGATTGATGGCTATATTTATCCGATAACTAATTATGCATAGAGGGGTCAAAGTGCAATATTGACTTAGAGGTTATTTATTATTTAATTGGAGTTCAATTAATTTCTTTTAGTGGAGTAGAAATTAATTTATGAATTAATTGAATTGGGTCCATGGACCGGGCCAATTATTAATTCATTGTAGCCAATAAAATAATAGGCCCAATGGATTCTCACTCATAACCCAACTTGATATTGGAATCATATTAGATTTGAGACATATGAATTAGAGATGGAGAAGGATTTGTTGTTTCCTTTTCTTTATTTTTATGTTGCCTATAAATATACATGGTTTATGTATATTTTAGGTGGTGATTTTTATGAGAAGGAAAAAGGAATAAATTTTCTCTCTCTAGAAAATTAGGGTTTATGGTCTCATCTAATAGAGGCTCCCACAAGCCTAGTTTTCCGAGGTAATTCATGGAGGCTTATGAGTGATTCCTAAAGGCAAAATAATTACCAAGAAGATGGAGATCCAAGGAGAAGGCATCTTGCTAAGGGATCTACAATAAGTGAGAACATTCACTTTAGAGGAAAGTTTTAAAGGTTTACTCAGACCTTTGATGTAAGTATTCAATCCATTAATTGAATGATACATCATATTTTATTTTTGCATAAAACTTGTCTCTATGTGATGAATCAAGATCTATGAATTTAAATCCCTCGAAAAGTTTTTAAAACTAGCATGCTTCCTAACAGTGGTATCAGAGCATGGTTTGATTCATTACTAGAGATCATGATTTTATGAAATTCATCATTCATGGATCCAATTTTGATATGCATATATTTATTTATTAATATATGTTGATGTATGAATTAATATATTGATATATATTGATACATGATGATGTATGTATAATTGTGAATGGATGATGATGTGTGTTTGGGCCATGGATGAAGCTTATAGGTTAAATTAATGTAATTTTATCTTTGGATGAATGTAATTAAGGCTTTGATATTAGCCGTTTGAAAGTTCAATAATGTAATTTAATTTTTCCCATTGTATTTCAAATTGTAAATTTATTTAAAGCCATGTAATATTCATCAAAGGGTGCTATGAAGCTTCAAGAAGGTCTAAGAGGATTAAATTAGGCTTCAGGAATTTTCTGGGATTTTTTAGAAATTTTTCAGAATTTTTCTGGAATTTTTTAAGGCCTAATTTAATTTCTGAAAATTTTTATTAATTTTTCTGGATTTTTCGGCGTTTTTCCGGTGGCCGGAACGTCACCGGCGGCGAGAAGAACTACTGGAGGAGGCTGGGATCTGGTGCAGTGCACCAATAATGAATCTGGCGCGTGAGGAACATGCGCCAGAAGTGATAGGTGGGGAATGGAATCTGGCGCGTGGGTTCCACGCGCCAGAAAAGTCAACCATTCCGGCGCGTGAGGAACACGCGCCGGACAAAGAGCTGCTTGCTGGCGCGTGAGGAGCACGCGCCAGGCCAAGCAAGTACATCACACGCGCACGTGCCGGCGCGTGGCACGCGCTGTATCGTCCCTCCAGCGCGTGCAGGCGCGTGGGAGCGCGTGGCACGCGCTGGAACTTTCCAGTAGCCCGTGGAGACTTCCTGTCCACTCCCCTAGCGCGTGGGAGCGCGTGGGGACATGCTGGACACTCTCCGGGCGCGTTCCAAGCACTGTTTTGCTTTTCCAAATGTCTACCAGCTTCCTGTAGGTGTTTGCAAGCTGATGGAAGATCTTCGCCAGTGATTAGAGCAATTAAATGTTAAAAGCTGATTCCATTGGCCATTTTATTTGCTTTATCTGTTATTTGTTTATTTATGCGATGTATGAAATGCATGGAATATATAATTGTTAATTAATTATTATTCATGCATTGGATCCATGATATTTATTTAAATGGCTTGATTTATATTAATTAAGTTATGAAAATTAATTGGATTTGATTACTAATTAATTTGAGGGCACTTATTGGGAAATACAAAATTATTATTATTTTTTTTTTGTAAATTATTTTTAAAGTGTGCTTCAAATTAAATTTTAGTGAATCGTTTAAAGTCCAAATATTTTCTAAATTTAATTGGATTAAAATCAAGACGTTTTGCATGCATTATATCATGAAATAAATAAATTCAAAACTCTAATTA